CTAATGTAATACTATGATATCAGACATATAATTTGGGTAATGTAATCAGACATATCAAAGTATTACATTAGACAAATTAATTTATTTATAATAAAAATATCAATTTGCTTAAATTTCAGTGGTAAAGCTAAGTTGCAGGGTATCAAATAGTCGCATATGCTTAAAGCTCTCCGGACTGTGCTTGCTGTTTGCCCTTTCGCTGTTGACATGGTGGAAAAAGCTTCAGAGCAAAATCGCGCAGCTGTGCACAGGTTTTGCGGTTAACGCGATAATTTAATTGTAATGCGGGTCTGCCACCTTGTGTGCCAATAACTTAAGTTGCAATCGGCGCAGGGCTTATTGGGCAGCAGGCGGTGGATGGGAGCAGGGCATGTGGATTGTGCAAAGACGCACAGGCTAGTTGGCTGGCTGAAGAAGTGAATGAACCCAAGAGGAACCGCCGCAATGGCTGGCAATGGAGCAGCAGGGCAGCAGAGCTCGGGAGACAAAGATAAATTCCGAGACTGCTCATGCTCATGCTCATGCTTCTGCTGCTGCTGCTGTCCCATAAAGGCGCCAGCACGAGTTTGGCATTTTTGCACGTAAACGAACGGGCAACGGCGGACGACGACGGCAAATGCGTAGCATACCCATTGGCGCTTGGCCAAGCAGAAGAGGACCGAGACAGTTGCATTACTTTCAGCCAAACAACAGTTGCCTTGGCAACCTCAAACATGCGATATCGATAAAGTAGCCTGGCAGCTAAGCAGCCAAGCAGCCTCACCTCGCACATGACCCGCTGCAGCCAGTCACAATGGAGGCCTTCGATGAGGAGCAGCAGGCTGAGTGGAAGCGCTTGATGCTGGCTGTCACCTATAAGGAGACCATTGATAAGCTGGTGCTGCAGCAGCGCTCGCAGCGCCTGAATATGCAAAAGCCGCCGGCCCGGCTGCCCGCCTCCTTGCGCAGGCTGCGCAGCTCCTCCATTGGCCAGCAGGCGTTGCCTCAGCGCCTGCTGCTCACGGGCAAGAAGCTGCCGCGGCTGGAGTCCTTGCTGGGCGACACAGATCTGGATGACGTCCAGGTGGATGAGCGTGTGCTGGATGCCCTCAAATATGAACGAGATTTGGACGCACTGCGCGCTTTTGTTATGGCCGCCAACGAGCAGCTGTTCATGACCCAGGAGGAGCTGGAGAGCGAAAAGCCCAGTCGCCTAGAGCTGGCGATTAGTGACCTGAGCGGCAACAACAGCGAAGAGTCCGTGGCAATGAAGGAGCTGCAGCGCTCCAAGGACGAGCAAATTCAGCTCAAGGCTGAACTGGAGCAGCTGGAAATCGACGGGGCGGCCAAGCTGAAGGAGATGGAGGAACGCATCGCCGATGCCAAGTACAATCTGAAGTGCGTCTCGCGGGTCAACGACTTGGAGTTCAGCCTGGTCGAGCGCTGGGAGGCGGCGCGCGTGACTCAGGCCCAGATCTGGGGCGAGAATGCCGAGCGAGCCTACCTGCGAGACATACTCGACTACAAGCAGCGTCTGGCACGCGAGGAGCGCGTCGGCCAGGAGCTGAACGCCTTCCGCGGTCGCGAGCTGGCCGACCTGAGGGAGCGCATTGAGCATTGGCAGCAGCGCTATGCCACTGAGATGCGACGCGTTGAGCGCGAGACGGAGGCCTGGCAGCTCCGCATCCTCGAGCAGAACAAGTTGCTGGCGCATCATCGCGAGCTGAACGCCCAGCACAGACAGTTCGTTGCTGAGTATACAGCCAGGAAGGAGGAGGAGCAGCGGCTGCACGATCTGGAGGTGCATCGCATTGAGTGCGCTGTCAGGCTGCAGGCCTGGTGGCGTGGCACCATGGTGCGACGCGGCCTGGGTCCCTTCAAGAAGAAGCCGAAGCGCGGCAAGCGATCCAAGCCCAAGAAGTAGACAAATTAAATGCAAGCCAATGGCAGTTGAGCCCGCCTTTGCCTTATGGAAATTCACTCGAGCCTTAAAACCAATTAAAAAGTTGGCTCGCTGCAGTTAACACGTTAGCGGTCAACGGCTGGCGTCAGCCTTAATGGCTTGCCGGCATTGTCAACAGCCTTGGCCATTGTTTACGCGCCGCTAATGGGCCAGCAGTCATCACAGTGCTCTGCTGCTGCCACTGACAGCAGAAGGCAGCAGCGGCAGCAGAGGCTTCAGAGGCTGCTGCAGCAGCTAAAGTTGAAGTTGGTATTAAAGCTTTTTTATTTTTTTTTTTGATTTTCTGCTCTTATTATTTGAATTTTTTCTCTTTTTTTTCTGCTCATATACATAGCTGGGATGCATGGCGCCAGCCAAGTGGTTTCCAGTAGCAACAATGGCCTGCTTGGCAGTCAGTTATTGTCGTTGCTTTTGGTTTCATTGTTTGAGCGCTGTTGGTGCAAGGCGATAAACAGCGACAATTTGCCCGCTGAATGGGTGCAACTTTCTCTCTGTCAGGCTCAGCAGAAGCGCAAGCGCAAGCACAACTCGCCAGTGTATGCCTGTGTGTGTGTGTGTGTGTGTGCATTGTAATTTAAAATATAATTAATGGCCGTTGCCTTAATTTATTGAATTTGCATGGGCGCCGAGCACGTTGCCATTCCCTGTTTCACTCTGACCGTGCGCCTTTCGCCCGCCCACCACACGGCCAGCCTGGCCGACTGCTAGCCTGGCTGTTATTGTTTGGCTTAATGCTCACTTTTGTTTTATACCCTGGCACTCGCAACAACAATAACTACCCAATAATGACTGCCGCAAGTCCATTTTGTTGCAAGGCCTTTTGTCTATTTGCTGACGGCTGAATTAATGGAAGATGGCGTGAGAAGAATACAAAAATAAATATAAAAAAAATAAATAAAAAAATGTGAAAGGCACAGTAACCATTTTCATGCACACATCCATATGAAATAGCACGAAAATATTGCTGAAAAGAAAATGTGAACGAAGGCGTATATTGTTAATATGTATATTCCATATAGAACTAATTGGGACTAGCTTAAAGTGCTATGCATAGCTCTATATTAAATCTGAGTTATTTGAATATGATTAGTTTTTGTATGGTAATGAAAGCCATTGCAATTATAGAGTAAAATAAATATGAATGTAAATAAAAAAAATGTAAATTTTAAAATAAAAATCGTAATTAGTTTATATGAATATTCTTTGATAAGTCGACTATATTCATTTCTATTTATATACAAGTATTCAGCATATAAATATGAAAATATAATTTTTATAAAAATAAAATTAGCATGAATTAAATTTTACAGCTAAAAATTGCGACCAATTTTATTTCCAGTAAATCAAAAATAATATAAGCATATTGAACTTTTTACATAAGCTGACATTGACTCAGGGCAAAGCTTTGGCACATATGTACATATATGTAAATTTAAATGATATACAGATTTTTTTTAATTTTGAAAAGAAAATGTAAAATTAGTTTAAAGAGCATTTATAATAAACTAGAAGAATTAATCTGAAAGATGCATTAATGTCATATTGACTCAGGACAAATTTAAATGAATGCATTAATATAAAAATATTTTTTTAAAATTTTTAAATTAGTTTAAAAGGCATTTATAATAAACTTCGATAAATTAAACTGAAAGAAACATTAAATATAAACAGGGCATATTTTAGAACAATCACTCTAGGAACCACATGAAGATTTTTACTCTATTCTCTATTCAGGAGTCGACATTTTGACTGTTTACGCAGATCAAGATATAAGCTACTTCTTAGGCAACTAACTATTCTGTTTTAAAATATCTTTTATATGCCTGTACATAAATGCTTAGCTTCTTGCAAGGCCAGCTTAAGCCTGTCGCTCACCCTTTAATCCGGGGATTAAATTCATAACTAGTTTGATGTGTAGCCCCTCGCACTTGTGCGCCCAAGTCGCCCAGTTACAGCCAAGGACAACTAGTTGGCTAAGGGCTTGCTCTGGAGCTCAGCGCTGACTGTCGTATGCATTAGTTAAAACATACTAAAACGAACGTTTGCCGAAATCCTTTAAAAATGGCGGGCCCCACGAGAAAAGGGCCCCAAATAGGGCCCACGAAAATTTACATTCAAATTAGGGTTAATGAGCAGTGAAATTGTTATTTAACTTCACTTGGCCGTTAGCCGCTTTAAAGGGAGCAGCACTTGGCCAGGTCTTGTTTTAAATAACCACGCAGTTTGCGACACGTTTTAGATATTTTCTAGTGCCAGGCAAAACGAAAAGGAAAAACGGAAAAATGGAAGATTACCAGAGGCAGGCAAAGAGAGTGAGAGAGAGAGGGAGAGAGACTGAGAGAGCAGCAACATGCTGCTTGCTGGATATTCGGGCACATAAATTAATTGAATATTGTGAATGCGCCACGTGCTCAGACATTAATTTCTTACGCATTTTATTTGACGTCGAGTAATATTTAAAATTTAATCAAGCACTTTAATTTGATTAACTACACACGTCTTTCAATATAAATTTATGGCCGCTCGACGCATAATCAGAGACCAGATCCGCTGCACTGACCAACCGTAAAAAAGGGTTGCCCACCTCGCCAGCTCAGCTCACACAATTTTTTAGTCTCGTCACAGCTTTCAACACTCCAGCGCCGTCATTTAAAATGCGTGCGTGACGCGATGCTCGACGGCTGGGAGAGGAAAGGGGTGCCGATGCTTTGGCATCTAATAGCAACACGTACGCCTGATAAAATATTTTATTGGCTTTATATTATTTTAGCATTTAAAATTAGAGCCGCCGACCTGCTGCTCTGAGTCGAGACTTGAAAAATTGACAACTGAGAAATATATAGAGATATATGTATATGTATATATGAGAATTTAATGAGCTTTTTGTGACAAACACACCCAGTCACACACTACGTTCTGCAAGAGTACTTAAATAGTTTGCATTTAAATTCCATTTTATTTTATATTCATTTAAAAAATACAGTCAACTAATAATATATTTATAAAAATAGTACTTACACAAAAATACTTATAATATTGAAAAAAAAAAAATAAAAAAAATTTAAATATTAAAAAAGTTCAACTTACTATATGTATTTAAAAAAAAAAATAAATAAATATATGTATGTAGAATATATGAATATAAATATATGTATATAGACTTTAATTATATTATCAGTTCGCTATAAAACAATTACGTATTTATGGAACATGAATTAATTTAATAACTTTTCAAATTTTTATTTGTATTTTAACTACTGTTTGCAATATAAAAAAAAAAAAAAAAATAAAATAAAATAATGTCCCATAAAAATGCAATGTCTCAATAAAAAATATTACAAATTTTTTTTAGAGCAGCGAGAAATCATCTATCAGTAAATTTTAATTTTAAAACTAGTGTGAAATCGAAGTTTGGCATACAAATTAAATATTAAACGTAAATAGAATTTCCAAAAAAGAATTTCACATATTCTTAAAATAAAATTGGTTGAAATTCGGATCTTATGAATTTGAATAAATAAATATTAAATCAATATTCATATACACAATAATTCCAGATCCAGATTTAGTATTCGACGGGACTGGCAAACTTTTAGAGTATTTCTTGACGGCCGCTGGTCGAAATCCATATTTTATGTAATTGGTGCGGAACTTTAACGCTCTTGGCGTGTGCTGCAATTCGGAGTCCATAAATCATATTCAAATATACGACCCGAAAGTGAGGAGCTAAACACAAACACCGGAGTCATTTTTATTTGCGTACGTGTCCTTTGTGTGGCGCCTGGCTGAGGACTGCGAACAGCCAACTACTCGCACTGCATATCGCATCATGCAAATCTTAAATAAATCTTTAATTTCTGTTTCACGGAAATCACGCCCAGCCGGCCAGCAATTTAAGCTCGTACTTGGACTATCTAGGACATGAATGGCGAACGGCAAACGGCACGCGGTAAATGGCAAGTGGAAAGTGGCAAATGGCAAATGCTTCATGCTAAATTTCAAATGTGAAACGCCAAATGCCGACTTCTGCTGCCAAATGTTGCTGCTGATTGTGATCTATGTGGGCCGCTCTCGCGAGCATCTCGCACAGTTGCTGCTGGCATATTTGCGTTTTCATTGCCGTGCGCCGTGAAGCATGATTTGATTTTCATTTTGCCCGCTCCACATTTTTGTGGCATAATTCAGCAATTAGCTGTGATTGTGAGCTGCGCTTTGGTCAAGTGGGCCTCTCGCCGAATCAAAAATCACAGCCTCGCACTCGCCTCCAAATCTGTGTGCAGCGGACAAGCAAAAAGGAGAAAAAAAAAGGAACTAGGAAAAACGTTGCTCGCAATGGCGATTCGCTGTTATTTGTTTACTATTTCTGCTGTTGTAGTTGCGCGTCGTTTGGAATTTTAAATATGGCGTCTGTTTTGTTTGAAAACGGAAACGAGTGTCTGTCAGCTTATTTGTTTGTCTGTTCGTTATTGTTGCTGCCATGTTGTTGTTGCTGTTGTTGTCAGCGACGTCGACGACCCGAAATGAACTCCAGCAACTTTTATGCCGCTCCCTTGGCAAAGGAAACGCCGTCTAATGTGTTATTTTGTGCATCCGTCTGCTGTGAGTTTTTCCATGTTTGTGTTTTTGTGATTGTCATGGCCAGTGGCGTCGTYGTCGTTGACCAGGCACCAGAGGGTTTTACTACATAAGACATTTACTTGTGGCCCTGTGTCCCCAAAGATTAGTTCTTACTGTTCAGCAACAATAAAAAAACTAATTATATATACCTCCAATTTTATGAAATTTTCATTTGGAAACTATTATTTATTTCATCCAAAATGGAAAATTAATAATGTCTAAATCATTACCAACCATAAATACCGCCGAATTTCGCATGTTATGAATTTTGCCAAGTTTTGTATTATTTTTGTTCTGGCCTCTCTCACCCTGGCCAATTATTTGTATTTAACGCACGTCCCTGT